TTGTTGATGAGTCTACTTCCAATTCTGATGCTACGTTTGTCCTCATAGAGCCCAGCCTCCCAAATAATCTGTTCTGCATATAGATTGAAAAGATATGGAGCCAATCCCTAGCTTACACCCTTCTCAATTTTGAACTATGCAGTGTTTCCATGCTGTATTCTGATGACTGCCTCTTGGTCCAAATACAGGCTTCGCATAAGCACAATCAAGTGTTCTGAGATTCTCATTCTTCACAGAGTCAGTCATAGTCTTTGATCCACAAAGTCAAATGCCTTTGCATAGTCAATAAAACACAGATAGATATTCCTGTGCTACTTCCTGCTTTCAGCCAAGATCCATCTAACATTAGCTATAATATCCCTAGTACCATGACCTCTTCTAAACTCAGCCTGCACTTCAGTCTGTTCTCTGTTGATTTTTTTATTTTTTGTTTTGATTTTTTTTTGTTTGATTTTTCTAGTTGTTTTTTTTGATAATCTGTACAGCTCATACTCATGAACGTGGTAGGGAAGGGAAAACTCTGAAAGAGAGGAGATTGGAAGAGATCTAGGGATCAGAAAAGAAGGTTTGGGGGCAGCGGGGCTGACTGATGGGCAATGGTTTTGTAGATGTTTATTAGCAATGGAGTTGACAAGAACTCAAATGTGGTTTACCATCACACAATGAATCAGAAGCCCCACTGAGCACTGTGAAATACTCTGATTTCCAAGAAGCCAGCTCTTAGTTCTTGAGTCCCTACAACCCAGCTCTGACTCAGGACCCCAGTTCACTCCTGTCCCCTTCTGCTACAGCTGCGGGTCTAACCTAGGACAAAGCAGACTGCTAAATTCTGCGAAGGGAGAGGGATTTTCTCTCAACCCAATCCACACTCCTGACATCTGATTCTGAAGTCCCCTCCACAGGTTCAGGGTCCAGAGAGCTGTTTCTTGCCACCAGAGCAAGAAGCCTGGGCAAGGAAGAGGAGATGGAGGAGGAAAGAAATGTGAGAGGAATGGATTGGGGCCTAGCAGGAAGGAGAGATGAATGCAGAGGGGTTATCAAACCTCAGCCCTGCTCCCTAGCTCCAACCCTCCCTAGCCTTACTTGGGACTACTTATGCTACCCCACTTGTCCTCCCACCCCATCTACCCTAATCTTCATCCCTGCCCACCTACCTACATGGCCTCTCTTTCATTGTCCCCTCACTTTTCACCACAACCTACCCTACCCTCCCTGCCCAATATCCCTCCCACTCCTACATCCTCCTTCCTCCATTCTCCGTCCCACCCCCACCATGCATGTTCACCCACATCCAAATCTCCACTCACACACTCGCAATCTTTATTCATGTTCACATGTCTGAGGAAGTGACAAGTAGCAACAGCGTCAGCCCCTGGGCCTGCTCAGGAACAGAAGGTTCCCTTGGCACACAGGTGTCTCGCCCTTACACCAGGTCTTTTCCACACACCCACTCAATCTAGTGAAGTAGACCAGACTCCTGGGGACCCCATGTATGTCAGTGTTAGGGTCTGAATTGGGTAAGTCAGGCAGAAGGAGGCTGGATGAGACAGATGCCAATGAGACAAGGAAGGCCTGGGAATACCAGTGAGGCAAGAGAAGGCAGAGATCAAATTAAGTATTTAAGACTAGTCCCCGCCCAATCAGAACCTGGGAATCAATAGCATTGGTACTGAATGCCTCAGTCCCCACCCCTTAGCAGAGGCTGCCCTCAGGAGCAGCCTGATTAGGGCTTCAGACCCATGAGTGGCATGGAGAACAGTGGACTGAAACCACCCACCACATCATTACTTTGACCCAGACTCAAGCCTCCAAGCTCATAAAAATGCGGAGCCACCAAGTTGTGTTAACACACAATTCTACGTGATGCAGCGTCTTTCCCTGCCCCCTCTCTCCTTTGGAGAAATGCACCCTGTCACTCTGAGGGACGAATCTTTTCTAATAAACTATATTTACTTTCGTGTTCACTCCCATCTCTTTGCTTTCTGCTCAACCACGTGTTCTAACCAGGCCTTCGGCCCACCGCAGGGTTGTTTGAGCCGGATGTAGCCAGATCAAAACCAAGGGGTTTGCCCCTGGCCAACCTTTCTGTTACTTCTCATCCTGTCTAATGCTTTGTCCATGCAAATGAAGCCGAACCAAGGCAGGCCACCAGAGCTGCCTTTGGTAAATGTACGGTCAGTGAAAAAGTGGAAAACTTTCCTTTAGAGAGAGCAACAAAGACTACAGAGGTGGGTTGCCTTTGCGTTAGCAGAGAGAATCCCTCAAGACTAAGTCACCCTCAAGACTAAGTCACCGAGGCCCCCAAGTCCTGCAGGGTGGCAGGTGATTCAGGCACAATAGAGAGATCAGCACAGAACGGCAGATCTTTGGCTGTTACCACACCACCGGCCCCTAAACCTTCTCATCCTGGATGCGGTACTTGTACTCCACGGATTTGATACTTATTATTAATTTATTCTAATAACTTGAACCTGGCCAGGTTTAATGATCACTCGTTATCAGCTGCCCCTGAGGACAGAGGCTGAGACCAAGGCTTAGGGCCTGTTACGAAGGGAGTTAGCACGGTCGGGCTGGTTCCGATCAGGTCTGTATTTTTGAGAATTCCAATAGTGGGCAGTGTAGACACAGCAGGGACACAAGCAGTGTGTAGGACTCCTGTGTGGGTTGTACAGGGCTCAACCCTGATCTGGGGAGCACTTAGAGTTTCTCCTAGAAACCTAGGCCCCGTTTGTGAGAGTCTGAGCTGCAGAGCACACCCATTCTCAGTTCTTTAGAACAGACTCCATCCCCATCCTGGACCTGGTGCGACTCTAATGTCCACGCACTTAGATAGGACTGAGCTGGTCCACCACCTATCTGCAGAGGCATGGCCTTCTCCTCCCCTGACCAGGGGCCTGCTCTGTAATGACAGCTCCCACCTCCTCTGCTGCTCCCTGCCACTTCTCCAGGCAACTGGACATCACAGGTTGGTCCTTCTGGAGATTCTGCCCAGACGTTAACCCAGGTCCATCCCCAGTCCTGTGCACAGGAATGTAGTTAACAAACAATGGGAACTGCTGCCCACTATCCTCACAGCATCACGACCGAGGTCTGCCCATATGAGCATTTCCAAGGGGGGATGACGGGCATCCAGTGATGGTCTGGATGGAGGTGGGGGCCCTCCACTAACTCAGCTTGTGCTGCCCCTGTGCTCCTGGCCCCCTAGGAGATTCTACCCACAACACAATTCATGGAAAACAGATACATCCTGCACATCTTCTGAAAAATTTCTTTTTAAAATACATAGTAATAATCACTATTTAAAGAGAGATGTTTCACTTCTAAAGAACATATAGATAAAGTTGGAAGGCAGACAATTCCACCATCAACCAGCACCCAGTGAGAGTCCCTGACTGTGAACCCAGGTATGAAGGAGGATGATTTGAACAAAGGAACAATTCTCACGCAGAGTCTATTCCTTTCTAATGGTTTCCAAGGCTGGGAAGGCAGTTAGAGGGCAATAAATATTAATAAATATGTAAGTTAGGTGCCAGGAGAGGCAATTCAATATATTAAATAGACATTATAGTTAATTATGATTGCTGTGATGGTGGTGGTGCTGGTGTACCATAGAATTGGAACACACACACACCCCCCAATAGATGACCCTCTAGTGGATTTTCAGAGGCACTTAATTGCACAGGACAAGACTGCTCATCTTTCTCCCATGGAGCAGTTGGTGGCCTTGAACCACATGCCTTCAGGATTGCAGAGCAACTTCTTACCACTAGGCTACCTATGATAATTAATGTTATAAAATGTGTACAGATGATGAGCAGTTCAAATTTTATAAAATGACCAAAAGAAAGATATAATATGTTTTAATGTTCTTATAAGTAAAATCTTTAAAGAATGAATAAATTAAAGAACATAGAAGCATCTAATTTAAAAATAAATTAGAGTATTTCGCCTGAGAGGCTGCAAAATCCCTGTCAGGATGCACTTTTTGCCCAGGTTTAAGGGATGACTGTCCCATGGCTCCCATGGCCAGTGGGAAACGGCATTCAGTCAGATGAATGTACAAGAACAGACAATTAAGGAGGCCTGGAGACCCAGGACTAGTAGGCCAAGATGGCTGGACCTGAGGGTGTGGAGTTGGAAGAGTCCTCGGAGATGGTTTCCTAAATCTTCACTACTCTGTGTCTGACCAAAATCTTCTAACTAATGGAGTTAAACGTTTTTAAAATTATTACTCAGCATTTTGACTGCTTCCTTTTTGAAAATGGTTTATCAACCATGTAGATGTGGGACCAGGAAGCATGAATGTTATTGGCAACATGTAAGAATTTACTCTCTTTTTCCCCCTGATATAGCATTTGGTTTATTATTAATATTAAATTTGATATTTGGCTTCCCACAAGTGAGGATAAAATAATACAAATTCATATCTTTAACAAAGCCATATAGTAGTATTTTTTTAAATTTTATTTTATTTCCATTCATTCATTGCCGCACTTTTCTCCCTGCCCACCCCTGCCCACCAGTTCGCTCCCCTCTCAGAAAAGAAAAAGAGAAAAAAAAAAAAATTTTCTTTCTTTAAAAAATTTATATATATACATATATATATATACACATATACATGCTATTCTTAAGTTATTGCTAATATTTTCACAAGAACACTACAATAGAAATACAGACCTGAGAAATACGGTATTAGGGTGGGCAGCAGTGTGCTGGCCTCAGATGACTCCCGGGGGGAGGGATGAAGAAGGGACAGCACTGTCACATTCAGCTGTGAGGTGTCACCAGGATAAGGAAAGGCCTTAACACTGGTCCATAATTTCTGAGGCATTTCCTGTCTGGAGTTGTATACAAGATTAAGCGGGTGTTAGCCCTCTTCCCAAATACATGGGATGCAGAGGAACAGTGGCTCTGCCACTGTGAATTAGAAGATGAGATGTGTCCCTTGGTTGAGATCACTCATTTCAGCATCAGAAGATCCAGGGCAGGAGCTCCAGCAGTCAGCACCAAGAGAAATGGGCCCGAGGCGAGCCAGAATGAGGATGGTCATCCACGGACACCGGGCCTGAGATGCTGTAGCTGATGAAGTGGCAGGACCTCCTGGCACCTTCAGGAAGAAAACAAGGGTTTGAGGAACCCCTGGCGTAGTTCTCACAGGCTTCCCTCCCCATCTCAGACTCTCCCCACTGAGGCCTTACACTTCTCCTGTGCCACTCATCCCTGCATCTGGCAACTCAACTTGGATTCCTCTCCTCCTCCCTCTTGTGCATCAGGCCTGGTTATGCGGCTCAGGCCCAGAGGAAGGAGGGGATCTTTACAGCACCTTTCTCAGGGCCTGGTCTCTCTCCTTCCATGGCAGGGCCTACGGTATCAGGGGGAGCCCTGTCCTAAGGTAGGGGCCTAGTTAGGGAGCCAAGTAAACATCCCTTCCTCCTCCCCTGAGCCTTTCCTCACACTGAGGGAGCACATACAGCTCTGAGAGTGACAGTTCTGTCCCTGCTACACCACTCCCCCTGGAAGACATCACCTGGGGTCACCACGCTGCTGCAGACCACAAATTGTGGATTTCTCTGCCACTGTTCATGCTGTCTCCACTTCCAATATGGGCTCCTCCCAAACAGAGACCTTGGTCTATAATGGCCTTGAATTTCTGAGACCCTTTATTAGCAGCAGCAGGTTCTAAGCCTTCGTCTGAGCAGAAGGGAAAAAAACAGCCAAAAAAAACCCCCACCCAGCTGTTTTTCTAAAAAGCATCAGTTAGTTAATTCCTCATGTGTTGTGCAAGGAGGGGAAGTTAGTGGTAGAGGAGGGACGGGAGCGCTCTCCAGGCCTTACTACGTGCCCCTGTGCCCTGTGCTGCTCTCTCAGTTCTGCCCACAGTACCTGTTAGTCCAAAGATGCAATCCAATACAAATGCCAGGTAGTATTAAGCCGGGGACGAGGATCCAGAGGCTCAGTCTGAGGGCTGCTGAGTCTGTGGCTTGAGAGGTGGAGGTGGCTGTCGTCATGGTGGTCTGTGCTGCAATGGAAACAGGCGTGAGAGCCCTTGACAGACCCCAAAACTGAGCACAAGGTAATCTGACAACACACACGTGTGCTGACCCTCTACCACAGGGCAGCTGCAGTGAGACATCAGTGCTGACTGTGGAAGGATCAATACGGTCTTCAGTGAGGAAAGGAAAAGCTTAGATGCAACAGGTCATCTTGCTGTGACTAAGGTGATGGATGAGGACAGTAGGAAGATAAAGTAGCTGAAGCATGGCGTCAGTGTGGAGGACTTCCAGAACCTGACTGAGGGAGGTGAAAATGCAGTGATTCTAGGGAGAGGAAACAGTAAAAAGAAGAGTTCCGGAAACATGACAGTGTCTAAATGTTTGGGGTCAGCAAGACATCCCTGGTGACTGGGCCACAGGTGCAAGCAGGGCGGCGATGTCAGCAGGTGAGAAAGGAAAGGAGGGAAGAGGTGAGAATCCCTGTGTCCAGTATTGTCTAAAGATCTCCTTGTTGGTCTCCATCACTTCTCCACGCAGACGCGCGCGAGCGCGCGCGCGCACACACACACACACACACACACAGAGACATGATTCAGCGCAAGCAAACACACACAGCCTTGCGCACAAAGCCAAGGACACAATCATTTTCCGTACATCTGTATCCCTTCTCAGTCACCTGTGGGCTCCAGTACTTTCTCCAAGGGCCTCGGGATCATCTTCAGCCGTCCCTTACAATCTCCCTGTGAAGTTTTCTTGAAGAAGGAGGCCACATTTTCATCCATGTCCTCGTTCCACTCCTCCTCCTTCAGTCTGGCTCCAGGAACAACCTTTGTCCAACCCTTCTTTGGCTCAAAGCTTAGGAGGATCTTTTCATCAAAGCCGAGCTGCCAGTACCCTCTGGAGCCTCCACCTGCTGCCATCTCACAGCACATGTTGGCCTGCAGGGTGACAGGATCTAACCCACCCCAGGGAGAGAGATCACCAGCAGGTCCTCGCCCAACGCCTCCTCTGACCACGCCCACTTCCTCTGTGCTCTCTATGTCCAGGCCTTCCAGAGGGCCTCCCTGAATGGGATCAACTCTTCTCATTGACCAGCTTTTCTTTACTTTATAGTCCTGGTAGACCTTAATTTTTTTTTCTATTATGTTTTATTTAAGTGAAAGTTTACAAATCTCATTGGCTTTTCCAGACAATTATTCATAGGCAATAATTGCCATTAATTTATGCAATTAACTTATTACATACAACGTCTAAGCAAACCCTTAGATAATTCTTTCTTAACCATTCATACAATGCCAGCCCCCAATTCTTCCACATCCGCCCCGCCCCTCCCCCACCGGGCCACCTCCCCACCTCCCCGCACAGACACTTACCCTTGGGCTTGTGAGCTCCTGGTTCAACATACTTCATTAGTTTTCTGAGCTTATCCCCTATGTCTTTCAGCGTCTGCCAATCCTCTGTGATGTTCAGCCCTGGGGCAGCCAAGACTTTCAGGTTGGCACAGTTGTAGTGAAAAAGCAAATTCCGTTCATTCAAATAGCCTTGAACTTCACACCATTGCTCTTCATTAAACCGGATGCTGAACTTGTAGCAAACAGAGTGAGTGTCTGTGAGGAGAAGAAACGCAGCAGGAAATCAATCCCTCACTGTCTGAGAACCCAGAGTCCCCAGAAGTGCTCTGCCGGCGAAAAAAGGTGTGTCCTGTCCCCATGTGACCAAGGCTTCTTTCAGATTTCTGTTTGGCCCTTTCTTGACAACTGACAGAGGAGGATGCTTCCTTACCTCCGGGACTTCCTACGAGGCGCACACCTCTGCCCCCATCACCCGGGGGCGGATCGGGGCTGGTGGGCCGCTTCTCCAACTTTTCGGGGAGCCCATTTCTCCTCACCCCAGTTCAAGCCCCGCCCCTTTCCTTTTCACCGGCCCCTCTAGTCCGCGTTCCAGCTCCTCGCTCGGGAATGGAAACAGAACCCGGGGTCCTGTGCAGGAGGGGAACCCCTGCCCACCCCGGACTCACCGGCCGGCGCCCCCCGGGACCAATCAGGCAGCTGCAGCAGAAAAGAGAGCGCAAGAAGCAGGGGGAAGCCCGGAGCGAGCGCCATCGGAGCCTTAGTGGGCGTGGGTGATGTCCTCCGGGGGTGTGGGGGGTCGCCTCTGACCTCTGAGGACTTGGGGTTTTCCTCTGACCGAGAACTCAGCTGTAAATGGCTTTCCTCCTGTGTCCGGCCCGGCTTGCTCGCCGCGTACTGGAGGCGCGGCTAACAGGCACCCCGCCCCCTCACCATAAAAGGAGAGGTCGGAGGCTCGCGCCCCGCCTCTCCCTGGTCCAGCCCCGGAGCCAGGAAGCCTGGGCCGCCCCGGGAGCGGGGTGCGGGGGGGTGTGCGGGGGGGAGGGTGCGCGGGGGGTGCGGGGAGGGTGGTACGGCACCAGAAGCCTGCTGAGCTCGGGGTGGGGGAGCTTTACGAGGGACGGGCGGGGGGGACGTGAGCCGAGGAGGACGGAACGCAGAATGGGAGCCCTCCTCCCCCGCCCCACCCCGCCCCGCCACCGGGCCTTGGATCTCGGGACCTGGCGGGAACCCCGACCCTTCTCTGCAAGCGCTGGGGCCCAGCGCTCTGGAGGGCGGAGTCGAGGTGGCGGAGGCAGCCTCGGGCACGCCCCGCTTCTCGGGGGCTGGGGGGTCAGGCAGGAGCGCAGATGGCCACTCAGGTGGAGCCGCTGCTGCCGGGGAGCGCCCCGCTCTTCAGGCCGAAGAGCACGCGGGCCTGGTGAGGAAGAAACCGGCGCCGCCGCTTGAGGCCAAGGGCGAGCCCGGAGCCAACGACGTCGGAGTGAACCGGTGGCGCTCGGAGACCCCGGAGGCTCTGCGCCGAGCTCTGCAAGGAGGGTACCGGTCAGCAGGAGCGCGAGAGCCCGCGGCCACGGCAGCCACCCGGCGCCGCCGGAGGCCCGGCCACCAGCGACGGGGAGGAGGGCGGCGGCGAACCGGGCGCTGGCGGAGCGGCAGCGGGAGCGCGGGCGACGAGACTTGAGACTTGGTGGAGGCCCCTCCCCACCCAAGGTGAACCGGTGGACTAAGAACGCGCTGCCGCCGGCCCTGGCCGCGGTGAACAGGCAGTCTCCTCCAGAACATTCGGTCCCAGCCAAGATGGTAAGAACAGCGATTCCTAAGCAGCGCAAAGGCAGCAAGTTTGGTGACTTTGGAGATGCAGTTAATTGGCCCACACCAGGAGAGATAGCCCACAAAAGTGTGCAGCCAGTGTCACAAGTCTCAGCCTGCCCGTAAGGCACTACCCAGGAAGGACATGAACAGGAGAAAGGAGGGGGGAGCGATAGTAAGGAGAGTCCAAACACCAAGTCAGACGAATCAGGAGAGAAGAATGGGGATGATGACTGTCAACGAGGACAGAAGAAGAAAGGGAACAAACGCAAATGGGTTCCATTGCAAATAGACATGAAGCCTGAAGCAGCCAGGGAGAAACTGGTTTCTCGCCCTACTCTCGCACCAGAGCCTCGACAAACACCTGCAAACTGAGGGGAGATCAAAGAGTCTGAACCTGCTACCTACGTGCCCATGTTCCCCACCACCACCACCACCCGCCTGGCAACCAGAGACCAAACCGGAGCCTGCCTGGCACGACCAGGATGAGACACCGAGTGTGAAGAGTGAAGGGGCTGGTGGCTGGTGGGACGCGGACTTCGTTCCGTGGTCGTGGACAGGGGTGTGGTCGCGGCTGGGGACCCGGCCAGGGTGACACTCGAACCCATTTTGCCTACTGAAAATTTGATGCTACAGAGGGCCCTCGCACCCCCAAGTATATGAACATCATCACCTACTACTTTGACAATGTCAGCAGCACCAAACTTTACAGCGTGGACCAGGAGCTACTCAAGGATTACATCAAGCGCCAGATTGAATACTACTTCAGAGTGGACAATTTAGAGTGAGACTTCTTCCTGTGACGAAAAATGAATGCCAGCGGTTTCCGTCCCATCACACTGACATTTCACTCATCTTTGCGGCCCTCAAAGACAGCAAGGTGGTGGAGATACATAGTTGATGAGAAAGTCCTTAGGAGGGAAGAGCCTGAAAAATGGCCTCTTCCTGGTCCCCCAATAGTGGACTATTCCCAGACTGATTTCTCCCAGATTCTTAACTGCCCAGAGTTTGTGCCTCGCCAGCACTACCAAAAGGAGACAGAATCAGCCCCTGGGTCTCCCCATGCAGTCACCCCAATGCCAACTAAAACAGAAGAGGTCAGCAACCTAAAGACATTGCCCAAGCACCTATCAGCCAATCTGTCTGACCTAGATTCTGAGAGTTGGATTGAAGTAAAGAAGAGGCCTCATCCCTCCCCACCAAGGCCCAAGAAGTGAGAGGAGCTTAAGTTCCTCCAGCAGACCTCTCTCCCTCAGCACATGCCCTCCCAGCAACTGATATTCAAGGATCAGGATGAGCAAGAGGAACTGGATTTCTTATTTGATGAGAAATGGAATAGATGGATGGTCAGGAAAACACCTTTACTGCTTGGTCTGATGAGCACTATGAGATTGATGACAGGGATGTCAATAAGACCCTCATTGTAACACAGACACCACCTCACATGCGTCGGCAGCCGGGGGAGACCACACAGGCAACCACACCTTTCGTGCCAAGATGAGTGCTGAGCTGGCCAAGGCCATTAACTATGCATGGGCTTTTCTATTATGAACAAGACCTGTGGACTGAGAAATTTGAACCTGAGTACTCCCAGATCAAGCAAGAAGTTGAGAACTTCAAGAAAGTCAACATGATCAGCCTGGAGCAGCCTGACACTTTGACCCCCAAGCCACCTGTGGATCCCAACCAGGAAGTCCCTCCTGGGCCACCGCATTTCCAGCAAGTTCCCACTGATGCCCTGGCCAGCAATTTGTTTGGTGCTCCTGAGCCTTCTACCATCGCACACTGTCTACCAACCACTGTCCCAGGGTCGCCAAACTACCATAATGCCAGGACTCCTCAGACACACACACACACACACACACACACACACACACACCACAGCTCAAAGACTCAAGCCAGATATCACGATTTTACCCAGTGGTTAAGGAAGGACGTACAATAGATGTCAAGATGCCTCAGAAAAGGAAGACAAAGCACAGCTCAAACCCACTCTTGGCGAGTCATGTGGGCTGGGTGATGGATTCTCATGAGCACAGGCCTCGGACTGCTTCTATCAGTTCCAGCCCCTCAGAAAGGATACCTGCAACCGGTACTATGGCTGTACCCCACAGTCACTGCCCAAGTTCCAGCATCCTTCCCAAGAACTCCTCAAAGAAAATGGCTTCACACAATATGTCTACCATAAGTATAATGAGCGAAAACACTTGGGCATTGGCCCGTTTCAAGAGATGAACACACTCTTCCACTTCTGGTCTTTCTTCCACCGTGATCACTTCTACAAAAAGATGTATGAGGAATTCAAGCAGCTGGCTCTGAAGGATGCCAAAGAAGGCTACAGATATGGTTTGGAGTGCCTTTTTCCATACTACAGCTATGGCCTAGAAAAAAAAATTCCAGTTGGATATCTTCAAGGATTTCCAGGAGGAAACCGTGAAGGATTATGAAGCTGGTCAACTCTATGGGCTGAAGTTCTGGGCCTTCTTGAAATATTCCAAAGCCAAAAATTTGGATATTGACCCTAAATTGCAAGAATACCTTGGCAAATTCCAACGGCTTGAGGACTTCTGAGTAGATCCCCCCCATGGCTGAAGAAGACAACCACAAAGGACATCCAGTGGCAGCAGCCAGCCCATCTGGGAAGATGCCAAATGGACAAGCCAACTCTTGGACACACAGCCTTTGGGAAAGTGGAAGGCACTTTAGCCCTGGGGTTGGGAGGGAAGGGGATGGTTTGGGTGAGAGGCTATGGGGGTGCCCAGTCCCAGGAGAGGGGTCTTAAAAGGGACAGGCCTGGAGTTACTGGGACAGGCCCTTGTGCTGAGACTTGCCATGTACACCATTTGGACTATCAGAGGTACCTCTCTGGGCAGGAGCCTCCACTACTCTTCCCCCTCCTCTCTCTTTGACTCTTGTATCCTAGCTTCTTCTAAGGGTGGAGGGGAGTGGGAAAGGGGGGGGAGAGATTTATATAGCCTATAGCCTGCCCATGGCTGGAAGGCCGCAACCTTGGTCCCTACCTGCAGCCTCTTTCTGCTCTCTCTGAAGTCAACTATGCAGCACACAAGAAGGCACTGCGAGCCTCATTGCTGGGCCCTGTCCCACAGAAGGCTCTGCAACATCCCGGGCCCTAGGAGCACCAGCCCCTTGGGCATCTTGAGTTCACCAATACCCTGTTCTCTACCTGCTGTTCCTACCATCCCCTTCCACCATCTTCTGGGAGAAGGAAATCAAAGGATCTTAAAGTGGGGCTTGGGGAAAGGTTTCAACCTCTCCCTACCCCCTCTTCCCCACGCCCTTACTTCCCAGCCCAGAGAGATGCTACTCATACCAGAAAAGACTATTAAAAGATGATTTAATTTATTTTTCTCTGACCTTTTCATCCTTGGAAAAAAGAAAAGCTTTTTAAAAACACAAAAAAAGGACAAGATTCACCATAAAAGAAAAAAAAAAAACTCAGAAAACCCCCTCCTAATCCACTGAAAGTGATGTCTTCTGTCCTTTGATTTTTTTTCCCTTTAGTTCTTGAAATAATAATTTTTTTAAAATTGCCTTTTTGTGGATGCCTGTTTTCCTCAATGGAGTCAATGTAAAGAGCTCCCACATTCTCTGGATGCGCCTGGCCTTGGATTGACTGAATCTTTCTCTGGACTGAGTTGCATTGCATGTACCATGCCTCCTTACTGGAGGTTAGAGTCAAGGGCAGCTCTTATCAGAGCTGTGCCCACAATATCCCTGTTGCATCATTTCAAGCTGACATCTTATGTCTGTACACTGCTGCCTCTGTCATGTCCTTGCTCCGCTTGCTGTTGTTTCACACCAGGGCCTATCCTGCAGTGACATCTTTCATCCTACCCTTTGAACGCCAAGACCAAGCTTGCTTCAAATTGTTTGAAAACAGAATTGGCCTGGATTTGCAACATCTTGTCCTCAACTTGAATGTTTCTTCCATCCTTGAGGTCTAGAAAATACAACTGGTAGCTGAGGCTTGGCAATGTTTGGGAGTTTTTGTTGTCGTTGTTGGCCTGAAAGATCTCTTGAGATCCCAAGGAGGTTTTGTACCTCCCAAAGCGTGGCAAAAGATGCCACTTCTCCTCCCTCAGGTCTGGTGGCATCTCCCCATCTTACACACACACACACACACACACACACACACACTGTGAGCTATCTCTGCCCCTCTACTGTTGACCTTGCCCGGAAACAAGGAATAAGGACAAGTTAAGGGCTGGGGAGAACCTTGCCAGTGGCTGAAGCCCTGTGACAGAAGGTATATGTGAACATAGAGTATACCTGACTTCTCCAGCCACTAACTGTTTGGGTTGGGCTGTAAACAACAGTGGAATGGCTGGAGTCTACTGTTGTCAGAAGCTAGGGAGGCTTACAAAAGACTGACCCATACAGACTTTGAGGTTTATGTTGAGTAAGGGCACAAACTGTTCAGGACCAGTGGCAACTGGGCAAATGGAGAGGAGTTTGTGGTCCTGTTCAGTTGCTGGAACTTCCTTGGGCCTTTCTCACTTGGAACCTCTGTTAGGCCTAGAATTTGGAAGTAGAAGACAATATCCCAAGCTTGTCCTCTCCCTTGGGCACTATGTTACTGTTATCTTGTAACTGCCCTTTATCTTTGCCCTTTCAGTGGTTAGTATTTGAGAAGCCCATTTCATCTCTGACACAGTCCTCTCCAAAACCAAGGATGTTCGGTAAATGTCTAATCTCTGCCAAGACAATGGATCAAGATCTAAGGCCTTTCCCTACCCAGTCTGGTGCTTGATCCACGTTTTATCAGACACTGGACTCTTGGACCCACTCTTTCCCCTTCCTTTCCTTCGGATTATTCAGCCCTGTGCTGTATCCAGCACCACAGCAACCTCAGTGATTGTCCTCTGCTAGGCTTGAGAACACAAGGGGTTGAGAACAGGCAGCTGTTATGTAGAGTTCATCCCCAGGCCAGAGGTGGGGAGGGCCCCTACCCCTACTATCCTCTCCCTGCTCATCCCCACAGTCATCCCAGACAGAGGAAGGCCCTTCCGGGTGGCAAGGTGAGGACTTCATCTCAATATAGCCTGAGGATGTGGGAGAGCATTCTTTTTTTAATACCTTTTTAGTTTTGTTGGGGTTTTTGTTTTGTTTCGGTTTTTTTGTTTTGTTTTTTTAGTGACATGTTAGGAGTTAATGTTGCAAAGAGTAGTTTACATCTTCATTTTTCTGAAGACACTTGAATCTAGGATCAATGTATCTGTGACAAGCATGCCAGGGGTGGCAGGGTCATCAGGACTAGCCACTTCACACCCACCATCCTCCCATGGGATCCAAGAACTGAAACACAAACCATCATCTAGTCCCAAATCCCTTTGTTCATTCTGTATCCTTCCAAGGTTTCTCCATGCCAACATGACCTGTGGGCATCAAGCACCAGAAGTCTGTGCTTCATGAAGCCCTGGTATGGGATGGGTTTTTCCTAACACCCTCCCCTGAACCTGGAGCAAATGCACTACCAGTACAGACAGGCCACCAGTCCTGCCCAGCTGGGACTTCTGGGGCTCAGATCATGGTGCTGAGCTCCAGTGTCAGGGTCATTTTGTTTCTTTTTTGTTCCTGCATAGTTTTTACCTTCCCCTTGATTTTTATGGCAGAAATCAAGCTGCACAGAAGGCCCTAGAGTGAGGAAGCAAAGCAGGGAAGATGATTTGAGAGCAGAGAGAGGAGACTTGCCAAAACCTGAGTAGAGTGCTTTGAATCATCTGGCCCTCCTGAATGGAACACAGAAGAATCTCCTTGGTGCAAAGTTCCCTGGCTTTGCGCCACCCCACTTCCTTCAACCATATTGATGGTGGAGGCAGAGAAGTTAAGAATTTAGAGCACATTTCTCACTGGAGAGAAAAACTTGTCATCTGGCTTTGCAGAGAAGGTTCTATCTTATGCTCATAGTACATTATCTTTACCATGTGCTGGGATATCACATTTAAAAGGAGGGAAAAATGTAAAATACTTGAATGAGCTTGGATTATAACATTAATATTTTTGAGAGTATCTGCTTTCCAAGCTGAAGTGATTCATTCATTATTCTAGTCCTGATTGGCACCAGAAGCCAGGAAATTAAAAGACATATTGCCATGGGAAAGTCTGCTGTTAGGGACCTCTCTAAAGTACCGAAGAGCGATGGTGTTTCTCTGGAGACTAAGGTGCGTCTGATACAGGCCATGGTCTTTGCAATCACTTGTTATGCATCAGAGAGCTGAACAATGACTAAGGAGGATAGAAGGAGAATTGATGCCTTTGAGCTTTGGTGTTGGAGAAGAGTATTGAGGGTACCATAGACTGCTAAGAAAACAAACAGATTCATCCTGGAAAGGGTTTAACCGGGCTGCTCCTTGGAGGCAAGGATTCTGAGGCTTTGTCTGACATACTTTGGACATATTGTAAGGAGACACCGGTCCTTGGAGAAAGACATCATGCTTGGGAGGGTGAAGGGTCAGCGCAGGAGGGGAAGGCCCTCTAGAAGATGGATTGATTCAGTGACTGGGGTAATCAGGATGAGTGTGACAATGAGATTGGCACAGGACAGAACAGAGTTTAGGATAGGGTCGCTATGAGTCACAAGCGACTCAACAGCACATAATAACAACAACAATTTGTGGTAATTATGCTTTTCTTTTTAATACAAAAAAAGTATAAAAATAAAAATTTGAAAAGAAAAAAAAAAAAAAGGAGAGGTCGCTCTGGGGTCCAAGGGCGGAGCTCCAAGCAAGTTCAAGTTGTGTCAAGATCTGAGTACTATTTTTCTCGGTCTCACTCCAACCCTGTATACTGTATTGAAACAGAAAAGGGAGAGAACTGTTTGAAAACTATATATGATCGGGTGTTATGGTTATGACAATAGTCCAGAATGAAGGTTGCATAGTGTACTCGGAAGGAAATAATTTTTCTTTAACTTTTCAAAGAGAAGAGCAAACTGGGGGGAGGTACGAGCAGGGAGAAAAATGTAAC